TTATTTCCTGCTACACATGCTGTGATTTGAAATGGAGTTGCAACAATGCTTTCATCAGGGAATATAGAAACCTAAATGTTTCCTAGAATGACTTTATCTACAGTACCCTGGAAACCCTTAACATTTTTTTGGTTGGTCATGAGGCTTGAAGTCTGAACCTGGGCACTGTCCCACAGCTCTTCAGCTCAAGCTAGCAATCTACCACTTGAGGCACAGCGCCACTTCTGGATTTCTAGTGGTTCATTGGAGATGAGAGTCTCATAGCCTTTCCTGCCTAGGCTGCCTTTGAACCATGACCCTCACATCTCAGCCTCCTGAGTAGCTAAGATTACAGGCTTGAGCCACCAGCACCCAGCTACCCTAACATTTTTTTTGCTGATAATTTAGAGAGAGAGAGAGATCTACAGATACCTTTTATTTATCTATGTACATTTGTCTGTCCTGTGGCTTGAATCAAGGCCAGGTCATTGTCCCTGTTCATTTGTGCCCAAGGCTAAGACTGTATGTCATGAGCCAAACCCTACTTCCACCTTTTTGGGTAGTTTATGAGAGATAAAAATCTCATATTCTTTCCTACTCAGGTTGGATACTGACCCTAATCATGCTTGGGAGTAGTTTCCTGAGCAGCTGGAATTGTAGGTGAGAAAGACTGGCACAACCTACAGATGTCTTTTTTTTTTGGACAGACAATTGAGAGGTTTTTACTTAGATTTTTTTTTATTTTGAAAATACCATATAGAGGGGTTACAATTAAATGGGAAAGAGTACATTACTTATCAAGTATTGTTGCCTCCTCCTTTGTTTCCCCTTCCCATCCCTTTCCATCTCCCATCCCCCCAACTCACCCCCCCCCGCCTCCTCCCCCCGCCAAGGTTGTAAAGTTTGTTTTTGACATAACAACTTGTACATCTCATTGTTGCAATGGGTCCACCTGTATCCCTATTTAAACGATTTGTTTTATCCTTTACCCTCCACAAATTATACCAACATCAAATTCAGTGAAAGCAGGGATTATACCATGGTGTGGGACATACAAAGCAACAAAGAAATCATCTTATAAATACGTTAGAAACAATCACATGAAAGAAAAAACATTTGAATATTTATCTTGGGGTTCATTTCACCTAACATCAACTTATCTGAACTTTTGTGCTTGTCTCAGACATATACTAGTTATTGCAAATAAGGGAAACCATAGGACCTATGTTAGTTTGGGCCTGGCTTACTTCACTTCATATAATTTTTTTCAGGTCTTTCCATTTCCTAAAAAATAAGGTAATGTCATTCTTTCTGATGGAGGCATGGAATTCCATTGTGTGTATATACCACATTTTCTTGATCCATTCATCTACTGAGGGGCATCTGGGTTGGTTCCATATCTTATATCCTATCAGTTTTTTGAAATGACAGGAGTTGGTGTTGCAGTCTTCCCTGTCATCATTTTAATTGCCATTATAATCTTCATTGTTGTGATAGAGGTGATGTTGAGGGGATTACCATTGCATAAGTTAGGCCATGTGTGCACTTTTGCTTTGTCACTTGTGAGATTTCAGGGCCTAGGTTCTGTCCCTGAGATGTGGGGCTCAACGGTGGCACTCTACCAGTTTTTCCACAGCACCACTTTCTTCAATATATTTCTTTGAGTACAACTTCACCCCTTGTCTTTTCCAGTTTTCTCATCCTGTCACCACACATAAGTTGTATGGTTCCTATCCACATAGTGTCTACTGCGTACCACTGCTGCATTGGTTCATCCCATAATTGTCATAATTGACAAACTGTCCAGACAGCAGATGATTTTGCTCATCCAACCTCAATGGAAAAGTTTCAGTACTGCCAGATATGATGCTCTGCATATCATAGATACATTTTGAACATGGTAATGGTTACTTTTAAATTTCTCCATGATAAAAAATTCATCATTTACTTATACTGAATCTGTTGCGTAGTGGAGTTCCTGGGACTATTGAAGTGCTCCTGTATTTTCCTCACTTCTACTCCTGTGATCACTGCATAGGAGAAATGGGTAATATGAAGCGTCTTTTGAATCTTAGTCTCCTGTTCCATTGCCCCAGTGTTTTATCCTAGTGCAAGATTCATTTCTGCAGTTATTTTGTGTCACTTTTTTATTTGCCCCCAAAATACACTTGTATTCCATTCTTTTGATCACACTATATTGATCCCATTTTATTTCAAAGCCATGCTAAGATAATAGCAGGCTAAATACAATGATTAATCGAGTTTGTAGGATGTGTGTGAAAACATTTTCACATCTTATATATTTGCTACACTCCTCCTTTGATGCTTATTTTGATTCCTTACCCAGTAATTTCCCCCTCTTTGGAATTTGTTTCCCAGAAGAGTTGAAATTGAACACTTAATACGGTGCTAAGGAATTTTTTTCTGGTAATGGAGTTTGAGCTACCTTTCCTTTCTACCAAATTATGGATAAAATATCTTTTGAAATAGGATTTTTGGACGGAGAACAGTTGGCTCATGTCTGAAATCCTACCTACTCAGAAATTTGAGATCTGAGGATGACAATTAAAAGCAAGGCATGGCAGGAAAGTCTGCAAGACTTAATTCTCAAATAACCCAGTATGAAGGTGGAGGTATAACTGTTAGCCTTGAACAACAATGAAAAAGAAAGCTCAGGGATAGTTTCTAGGATGTGAGATGAAGCCCCAGGCATTCATGAACACACACACACACACACACACACACACACACACACACACACTACAATCTGATGACCTAGAAAACTCCTTATACCGTGCAAACTTCTGTGTACCACAAGTCCACGTTTCTCCTTGGGAAGACACTAAGACTCATGGTGTGAGCCAGGATTTCCCTTCAATAATCTCATCCGTTTCTGTCCTCTAAGATCCTCAGGAGCCCTTGGGATTCCATTCCACAAGAGCCAACCCTGGGCCTGAAACTGATTTACATCTTCCTCATATTCTTCCTGAAGAACAACTTGGAATGGATCAGTAATCTAATGAACAGATTTTTCATTCTGGTATCAACTCTTTGGCTGCTCTATGCATCAGATATCACAGTGCCATTCACAATGTCTCGGTGGAATCGATATTGGGGGCAGGGAACTCCTTGCTCTCCATGCTCTATCTGTACATGTTTGGATTCCAAAGTCATCAGAAGAAGCCCATCGATGCTATCTTTATGCACCTGACGGTGGACAACATCCTGAACCTCACCTTCACAATGTTGCTAGACATCATGGCATCCTTCCGAGTTCATCATTTTCTGACGATGTGGGCGGCAAGGTGGTGGTGTACCTCTTCAGAATCACCCAGGCACTTTCCATCAGCACCACCTTGCTCCAGTGCGTGTGGCTTAAATCTAAGTCTTCAGTGTTGTTTTTCCCATCTTTCCTCTTCTTCTGGGTTGTCAATAACACTCATCTATGTCCTGGTTATTAAGGTTATGAAAGCCAAAAGCAATTTTACTCTTGCCGGTTCTGGATTTTCCAATGTATATTGTCATACTCAGCAGATAGAAGACAATAGATTATGGTATCGCATCCCTATCTTCTTATTTTGAGATCTTGTATTTGTAATCCTCATGATCATCACCAGCCTCTATTTGGTGCCCCTCCTGTATTGACACCACAAGACAGCCTGGCAACTGCATAGTCCCAGGCTTGCCTCGCAGCCAGCACCTGAGAACAAAGCCACCCACATCATCCTGCTGTTGGTCAGCTGTTTCATGTTCTTCTATTGCTCCAACAACATCATGGACTTTTATTACTTTTACACAGCAGTGAAAATTCCAACACTGGAAGTGATCGTTTGTTTTTTATGATCAGGCTACCTAGCCATGTCTCTCTTTTTCTTTACGGAGAATAATAAAAGTCTTTCCAAATGTACACTCTCCTTTTCATTGATGGGAAGTACCAGTTGTCATAAAGCAATCAATGGCTAATTAGACAGCCAAAATTTTTGCTCAAAAGCAGTGAAGTTCCTAGTAATGTAAATGGGGAATAAAACTGTGTGTATTGAACACTTAAAATCTTATTCAACTTCAGACATGCTATAATTCTTAAACACTGACGGAGTATACTGACCCAAACATTTCATATTTATATCCCCTGTTGCTGTATTTCAGTTTGGTGCCATAGTATTGCATATACATTTATTTGAATTAGGGAAGGGAACGGGAAGAACAGAATGGTGAGATAAAGGACAAGGGCTGAGCCAATGCAACAGCAATATACAGAAGACAATGTGTTGGAAATGATCTGTACAAATTTTGGGGGGTGAGGAGGTAGGAGGGAGGGGTATAGAAAGTAAGAGAAAAAGGAGGGAAAGTGTAACAAGTTTGTCAAAAAATGTATGTATTACCTTACTAATGTAACTGTAATCACTCTGTATATTACCTTGAAAAATATATATATTTCTTTGTTTGTTTGTTTGCTGTGCGGCCTGAATTCTGGGCCTGGGCGCTGTCCCTCGGCTCTTCAACTCAAGGCTAGCTCTCTACTACTTGAGCTACAGTGCCACTTCTTGCCTTTTCTGCTTATCTGGTGCTGAGGAATCAAACTCAAGACCTCATGTATTCAAGGCAAGCACTCTACCACTAAGCCACCTTCCCAGTCCTTGATAATAATTTTTTAAGTTTTTTTTTTCATTTTTGTCATTTCATTGGAATTAAACTCTGACCCTAGGGGCTGTCGCTCAGCTCTTCAGCTCAAGGGGAGTGCTCTCCCACTTGTGCCACAGGGCTACTTCTTGTTTTCTGGTGGTTAATTGGAGATTAGAGTCTCACAGCCTTTCCTGCCTGTGCTGGCTTTGAATCTTGATCCTCAGATCTCAGCCTCCTGAGTAGCTATGGTTACAGGCGTGAGCAACCAGTGCCCAGCTCAAAAAAAGTTTTATATTGCTTAGTTACTTAAACTATTATTGGTGGGGGGCTGGTTTTGTGGTTTAGAGGTAGATTGCTTGCCTAGCATGCATGAAGTCCTGGGCCCAATTCTTCAGAACCACATACAGAGAAACAGTCAGAAGTGGTGTAGTGGCTCAAGGGGTAGAGTGCTAGCCTTGAGACAAAGAGGCTCAAGAACAAGCCAGGTGTCGGTGGCTCACCCCTGTAATCCTTCCTACTCAGGAGGCTGAGATCTAAGTCTCGAAGTTCAAAGCCAGCCCAGCCAGGAAACTCCGTGAGGCTCATCTCCAATAAACCACTCAGAAAATGATAAGTGGTGCTGTGGTTCAAGTGGTAGAGTGCTTGCTGTGAGCTGAAGAGCTTAGGAAGAGTGTCCAGGCCCTGAGTTCAAGACCCAGAACTGCCCCAACCAAAAAAAAAGATTATTGGTGTGATAAAAGAAATACATTTCCTGTACACTATTACAATTAAAAATAATTTCTCTTTTTTAATAAAGACAGCATCTACACAATCTTTTTCTACCTTCCTTTCCCTTCCTAATAACAGTGCTATTTTTTATATAGAATTTTATTAAATCACTCTAAGAATGCTGGTTCTCCAATGACAGAGCAGCATCTAGCCACAGAGGAAACAGCATGTGGCCAAAGGATACAGCCAGAGCCAGGCACAGGTGGCTCATGCCCATAATCCTAGTTAGTCAGAAGGCACCTCAGTTCTCAGGCACCCTGGGAAGAAAAGTTAGTGAGACCCTTACTTCAACTAATCATAGGAAAAGCCAGAAATAGTGCTATGGCTCAAGTGGTAGAGTGCTAGCCTTGAGCAAAGAAGCCCAGGAACAGTGTCCAGGCCCTGAGTTCAATCCCGAGGACAGGCAAAAAAAGTGGATCTTGCAGCCAATGACAAAGAACATTGTAGCCAGTGACAAAGCAGGAGGCAACCAGTGACAATCAGGATGCTGTCAACGCAGAGATGTGTATACACCATGACACATATTCTTCCATCCTGTGATCTCCATGACTCTACTCTGTGACAAGCAGTGTGGTAAAGGCACAATGGAGATCAGTGTTCTGATTTAGACAACAAAGGAAACCTTCCAAGACAGGGCTGTGGAGAGAGTAAGTCCCTGCAGGTCCCGTCGTCCATCACCACTGGACTTTCTGGAGAAGTGTCATGAGGAAAAGGGGTGCTGTTCACTCTGAAGCTCACTGGATATTGGATATTTTATTCTATTCTATTTTTTGGTGAGAGGCTATGACTGGAACTCACTATCTGACGATTTTGCTCATCATCTGATGCTCCACAAGAGCCCTATCCTGCCATTGGACACTCAACCTAGTTTGAAGTCTACTCCCCCTGTTATACTTCCTGTTCACAGTCTCTATATACAGTTGACTCGCCTGATAGTGTTTTAGTCCTAGATTTTTATTTTGAGCCAATTTGCATCCTTGGAATAAAATCAGCCTATTTTCATGTGTGATATTTCTAGTATATTATCACATGTACTTCTGAGACTTTCGGATGAGTATCTCAACTACATTTCTTTACCATTTCTAGTTTGCTTGACAATAATAGTGTTATGATCATGTTTTGTTAGCAGGGAAATTCTGCTTGAATCAGCTGAGTTCCCACATGTTTTCTCTCCGTTACCAAAATTGTTGGAGGAGCCTTTTCACGAACATTTTAAGGTTTTGTATTGTTTGTTTATTTTTGAGGTTTCTTTGTTGCTGTTGTTTAGTTGTTTTGTTCTTGTACTGGTCCTAGGGCTTGAACTGAGGACCAAGGCTGTGTGCCTGAGCTTTGTTTAGGGGGTGGGGGTCCAGTCATTGGGCCTGAACTGTGGGCCTGGGTGCTATCCCTCAGCTCTTCAGCTCAAGGTTAGTGCTCTACAACTTGAGCCACAGCGCCACTTCCAGCTTTTTTCCTTTTTACTTCTGTGGTGCTGGGGAATCTAACCCAGGGCCTCATGAATTAGAGGCAAGTGCTGTACCACTTTGCCGGCATCCCAGCCCTGTGCCTGGGCTTTTGTTTTGATCAACGCTGGCAGTCTTCCACTTGAGCCATAGCTCTACCTGTGGATTTTTGCTGGCTAAATGCAGATAAGAGTGTCACAACAGAGTTTTTGCCTAGTCTAGTTTTGAACTGTGATCGTCAGATCACAGGTTCTGAGAAGCTATCATAACAGTGTGAAGCTGGCACCCAGCTTCAGTAAGTTTTGTAGAACCTCCCAAATATGAAAAAGGAGGACAAAAACTACTCACAACCGAATTGTGATGTGCAAGGAGATTGAAGTCATAGTAGTCTCCCCAAAATGGAGGACAAAGGGTGAACAAAGCCAGCAGTGGTACTCATTAGACAATGTGTGGAACTGAACTATGCAAATTGTGGTTGGCAATGGGAGAAAGAAACTGAGAGAAATTGTGGGAAAAGGTAACAAAAGGAACTGTTCTCCTTAACTGTAATATGAAACATGAACCCCTCTCCACATCATCGACAACATAAGCATTTTAGTGGGGTGCCACTAGTGGCTCATGCCTATAATCCTAGCTACTCAGGAGTCTGAGATCTGAGGATCCAAATACAAAGCCAGCCTGTGCAGGAAAGTTCGTGAGCTTCTTATCTGCAATTAACCACTGGAAATCTGGCAGTGGCCCTGTGGCTCAAGTGCTTGCCTTGAGTTGAAGAACTCAGGGACAGTGACCAGGCCTAGAGTTCAAGCCCCATGACTGACCAAAAAAATGAAATAAAATAAATATACTCACTTAAAAATAAAATGAAAAAACAGTCTTCTCTAAAATAAAAACCCTCAGTACTGAAGATGGTCAGGACTTTCAGAAGGAACAAACACTAGTGCCCTCAAATACAAAGAGGAGCAATTCTACAAATACTTTATGACAGGGGAGAAGAAAGATGACATGGGTCAAGTCCTCTCACTCTTATAGTACTTTGTGGGAAGGCAAGTCCTCTGTCCAACTACTTAAACATGAAAAATAAAACAAATATGGACAAGTCAGAAATACAGCAACTAAAGAAATAAAATCTTAGATTAAACCCTGACATTAACTACACCCCATCAAAACATTTTTAAAAGAGGACAGAAAGAGCATGATTGTATCGATACATGCACAAAAAGACTTGGACAGAATTCAACATCACTTCATTAAAAAAAAAAAAAACCTTTGAAAGGATTGGGAAGAGAGTGGGACATACCTCAACATCACAGTGCTTAGGCATGATAAATCTACAGTTGAAGCTGTCCTGAATGGGGAAAATTGAAAGCAAGTCTGCATAAGGAAGAAAGGTGAGGGAAATCAGCGATCTCCACTCTCTGATGTAATGAGTTTGGACATGATCCTTCTGCTTCTAGTTCATGGACGAGTTTGATGAGTACCACTGTTATTTCAACATGAAAAATCTTACAGAATCCACCCTGGTCCCTGGGATTTTCCTTGTTTGGACTAACAATGTCATTGGGTGTTATGGGCCTATTCAAATTGTTTTAATCTTCTTGGTGGAGCTGAAGCAGTTTGCATACATTTCTACTGGATTTTCCATCTTGTTAGAGTGTAGGTTTTGAAAAGAGTCCTTCATTATCTTTTGGATTTCTTGGTGGTTTTTTGCAATGTTTCCATTGGCATCTCTGATTTTGTTCATTTGAATCTCTTCTTTTCTCCATTAATTTAGGTAGTCATTTGTAAATTTTATTGTTTTATTTCCTAAAAGAGTAACTTATTGTTTTGTTGATTTTATATAAACTGTATTTTTAGTCTATAGTTAATTTATCTCCTATTCCTTACTACTCTCTCCATCTGGTTGTTTGAGGTTTGGTGTACGTCTACTTTCCTAGTAGTACTCACACTGTTTGTCTTATCTATATGTATACAATTACACTAAGAACTTTCCTTTCCATACTGCTTTTGCTGCACCCAGAGGGTCTGGTTTGAAGTGTTATATTTTTCAGTGAATTCCCACCTATTGTTCAGTAATGTGGTATTCAGTCACTGTATGTTTGTTTCAGTAGTGTTCTGTTGTTTAGGAGCAGTTTAATTGTGATCAGATAAGATACCAAGAGTTATTTCCATCCTTTTGTTTTTGCTCAGGCTTACTTTGTGTCCTAGAATATGGATAATTTTGGAAAATGTTCCATGTGCTGCTGAAAAGAATGTGAGTTGTGTGCTTGTTGGGTAAAATACTTTCTAGAGAGCTTCTATGTCCATTTGAGTAATGGAGTTATTTAATTCAGAAGCTTTTTTTTGCTGATTTTTGTTTGGTTGACCTATCTTTTGATGAAAGTGGGGTGTTAAAATCTCCCACTATTATTGTGTTGGGGTCTATGAGGTTCTGTGAGGCTAAGAGTATTTGTTTAATATCTTTATGTCTTCCATGGTTTGGTGCACAAATATTATCCACTATGATTTCCTCTTTGTGGATCATGTACTTTGTTAATATGTGATGGTCTTATTTGTCTCTTTGTACTGATTTTAATGAGGAATATATTTTATCAGATAACAATATGGCTACTCTGGCCTTCTTGCAAGATGTATTTCCATGATGAATTTTGGTGATCTTTTAGTTCTGAATCATTTTTTTTGTGCGATGAGTTTCTGTTGTTATAGTTGTTTTGTATTTTTTCTAATATACTGCTTACATCTTTAGGTTGGAGAGTTTACCCATTGATGTTGAATGTTACTATGTAGAACTCCGTCATTGTTCCTGCCATCTTGTTATTTTCTGTTCATGTGCTTTTTTCCTCTTTGGTAGTTACTGGACTGCTAATGATCTTTATTCAATTCTATATATTGAATTCTTGTATTTATTCATAGTGTAGTGATTTTTATATCATGCTGTGTTTACTTTGATTGTTTTCTATTTTCTAATTTTAGACTTTCCTTTATTATGCCTTGTAGTTCTGATGTAATTCTATGGATTCTTTTAGTTGTTGTTGTTTGTTGTGGAAGGTTTGCATTTCACTAACTATTGGGGTTTTGAGCCAGGCTGGTTACACCAGTATGGGTTGCCAATTGTTCTGATTTGGGGGTTGAATTATACCACTACAGGCTCTCTTTGCATTCAGTTGGTATGGAGAAATCTGCAGTCATTCTCATCTTTTTTCTATTGTAATAAAGTTCCTTCTTTGGTTTGCTGCATTTAAAAATAGTTTCTTGCTTTTGGAGATCAGTGTTTTCACTTTGATGTGTCTAGTGTTATTTCTTCTGGCACCCTGTCTGGTATGGGTTCTACATATCTCTACCAGGTGGATGAGATTCCTCGTTGAGTTAGGGAAATTTTCTGTTCTTATTTTTTACATGGCTTATCAATATGTTTCCAGAGCTTTGGACAGGAGAAAACCTTGTTGCACATCCTGTGCATTAGAATCCTGACTCTTGTGCTGTGGGATACAGGAGCCCTCCACAGCTGGCCCACCAGATTCCGTGCACTGCAGAGCCAAGGCCCCCAGCAGGGAAGAGAGAGAGCACTCTGGGTTCCACTCAGTATGTCCCCAAGGCTGTGAGAACTAACTTTTAATTACCAGCAACATCCTGAAGTTTACTTTCTGATGAGTTTGACGTGGAAAAAAACACACATCTTGAAGTTGTAATTGTTTTCTCTAAGTAATCAACTTAATATGTTCTCTCAGAGATTGCCTTGGCACTGGGAGAGAGTTTTGCATGTCCTGTGGGGACATCAGATTGAAGTCTGTAAACAAGGCAACCAGACAGCAGGTGACACTGATTGATGTCCACTGGGAGAAGCCTCATCACCCTGGTATGGTTCATAGTCAAGGTTGGGCACAGACAGCCTATCCACAATGCCAGGCTGCCTCCAGGAAGCTGTGCCTTGTGAGCCAGCATTGTGCAACTCTCAGCCTTGACAGGAACATGAGGTAGGAAGAGGTAAGAAGACTTTAGCATCCTCCTTACCCCAGCTTTACAACATTTCCTGCTATGCATGTTGTAATTTGAATCAGGGTGGCAATAATGTTTCCTGAAGGGAACATGGAAACCTCACTGTTTCCTAGATTGATTTTATCTGCAGTAACCTGGGAGAGGCCTAAATTATTTTACTCACAGTTTATTCATTGATCTACAGTTGTCTTGTATGTATGTATGTAAGCATGTATGTTTATTTAATTATTTTTGCCTGTCTTGTGGCTTGAATCAGAGTTAGGGCACTGTCCCTGAGTTTTTGTGCTCAAGGCTAGGACTCTATCACATGAGCGTCTGAGCCACTTCCAGCCACTTTGGTAATTTATCAAAGGTAAGGGTCACAAACTTTCAAAGTCTGTTGCCTTCAAACCATGATCCTCAGATCTCAGCCTCCTGAGTACCTAGGACTAAAGTAGAGAGCCACTGGCACCAAGCTACAAATGTTTTTGTTATAGTTTATGGAGTCTGTGAAATGACAGGTGTTAGAATTTCAGTCTCCCCAATTTTTATCAGTTTAATTTTCATTATTATTTTGTATTTTTATTATAAAGCTGATATACAAGGGTTACTATTTCATAAGTCAAGTAATGAATATAAATATTTGTCAGTTGTGAGGCTTCCACTCTGGGTGTACATACTCCTCCTGAGATTTTAGGCTCCAGGCTAGCACTTTGGTACATTGAGCCACAGTGCCACCTTGTTCACTACATTTCCTTTTGGATAATGCCACTGCTAACTTTACCTTTCCCAAACTTTCCATCCAGTTCTCAACCACAAATTGTATAGTTTCTTTTCCACATAGTATCTACTGTGTTCCACTGATGTATTCATTCACACTTTGTCATGATTGACAATCCAACGCTCCAAAGAGCAAGTGAGTTTATTCCACCAACCTTAATTGAAAATTTTCAACACCCATAGATACATTGCTAGGGACATCATAGATATTTTTTAACATGAAATCAAGAACAAGATCTCTGCATGATAAAAAATGTTCATCACTTACATATACTGAATCTATCACACAGGAGATTTCCTGTATCTGTTTTGATATTTTCCTCACTTCTACTCCGGTGATCACTGCATAGGGTAATGGGTGAGCTGAAGCCTATTTTAAATCTTAATCTCCTGTACCATTGTCCCAATGTTTTTTCATCGTACAATACTGGTTTGTGTAGATTTTTGTGTCATTTCCCTCCAGAAATACACTGGAATTTCATCTCTGGAGTCAGAAGATAATGACTGTATTTCATATCAAGGCATGCTAAAATAGAACCATGGTCAGTACAATGCTGCACTGAGTTTTTAGGGAGTGTGTGAAACCATGTTCACATCCGGTATATTTGGCCTACTCCTTTTTTGAAGCTTATTTTAACAGTTTACCCAGGAATTTTCCCCAGTTTGTTATTTCTTCACAGGAAACATTCCACCTGGTAGTCTTCCTGAATTAGTAAACATTTCTTTGGGGATGCTGGAGCTTGAAATAATGGTCTGTCCCTTATATTTATTATGTATTACTAATTGGATGTGTTTTCAAATGAGATGTTGTAGCTGGACACTGGTGGCTCACACTTGTATCCTTGCTACTTAGGGAGTTGAGATATGAGGATCATGATATGAAGCCAGCCCAGGCCAAAATGTCGCTGAGACTTATCTCCAATTAATCAGCATAAAGATATAAGTGAAGCTTGTAGCTTTTAGCAAAAATACAAGAACACAGAGTACCATTCAGGCCCTCAGATCAAGCTATAAGATTTCAAACACACACACACACACACACACACACACACACACACACACACACACACACACACACATACACACAGAGCATATATAATAATCTGGAGATCAAAGAAAACATAATATCCAAATTTCTGTGTACCACAGGCCCACAGTTTTCCTAGTGAAGGCACTAGGACCCATGGTGTGAGACAGGGTTTCTTTTCTATAATCTCAACCATTTCTGTCTTCTAGATTCTCTCAATCTTTTGTCTTTGGCATCCCACTCCAGAAGGGCCACCCCTGGGCCTAAAACTGACTTTGATCTTCCATATTATTTGTGAAGCTCAATTTGGAATGGATCCATAATCCAGTAAGCTGATTTTTCTCTCCTGTATAGACTCCCTGTTTATCTACGCATCAAACCTCCCAAACACCTTAGCAATGTTTTCGGATTCATCAATATGGGGGCTTTTCCTCATAGCCCAGCTGTGTGTTGGTGTCATGGGGAACTCCCTGCTCTCCATACTCTATCTGTACATGTTTTTATTCCAACGTCAGCTGAAGAAGCCCATCGATGCCATTTTCATGCACCTGACTGTGGTCAACATCCTGAACCTCACCTTCACAATGTTGCCAGACATCATAGCATGCTTTGGAATCCAGCGATTTCTGAACGATGTGGGTTGCAAGGCGGTGATGTACTTCTTAAGAGTCACCCGGGGACTGTCCATCTGTACCACCTCACTCCTCAGTGCTTTTCAGGCCATCACCATCAGCTCCAGCCATGCCCAATGGGTGTGGCTTAAATCTAAGTCTTCAGTGTGGATTTTCCCTTCTTTCCTCTTCTTCTGGGTCATCAATATGGTCATCTATGTCCCGGTCATTACAGCTATGAAAGCCAAAAGCAATTTCACTTTGGTTGGTCCCGGGATGTCCAATGCATATTGTGAGACTCGGCGGATAGAAGACAATAGATCATGGTATTTCATATCTATCTTATTAGTTCGAGATCTCGTGTTTGTTATCCTCAGGATCACCACCAGCCTTCATATGGTGACCCTCCTGTACCGACACCACAAGACAGCCCGGCACCTCCACAGTCCCAGGCTTGCTTCCCAGCCAGCACCTGAGAACAAGGCCACCCACACCATCTTACTGTTAGTCAGCTGTTTTGTGTTCTTCTATTGCTCCAACAATATCTCAACCTTTTATTCCTTTTACACCGCTGTGAAAATCCCAAAAATGGGTGTGATCATTTGTATTTTATCATCATGCTACCCAACCATGTGTCCTTTTTTCCTAATGAAGCGTAATAAAATTTTTCCAAATGTATGCTCTCCCTCTCTTTGATGGGAAGTACCAGTTGTCAGAAAGCATTCAATGGCTGATTGGACAGCAGTGAAGATCCTAGTAATATACATGGGAAAGAAATTGTGTGTACTGAGCACTTGAAGTGTTGTTAAAATTCAGATATACTGTAATTCTTAAACGTTCTGGTACCTTTATGTGTGTGTTTGTACAAATGTGTTCTATTGCTTAGATGCTTAAAAAATTATTGGTGGGTTCTGAGGAGGTAGCTCAGTGATAGAATGCTTGCCTTGAATGCATGAGGGCCTGGGTTCGATTCCTCAGCACCACAAACAGAAAAATCCAGAAATGGAGCTGTGGCTCAAGTGGTAGAGCTCTAGCCTTGAGCTGAAAAGCTCAAGGACAGTGCCCAGGTCCAGAGTTCAGGCCTCATGAACGACCCCCAATAATTAGTGGTGGGTTAAAAGAAATACTTTTTCTGTGCACTATTAAAATTAAAAATATTTCTTTTTTATTAAGACAGTGGCTAGACAATCTTTTTTTCTTTGCATTCCTTTCCTACTAATAGTACTGTTTGTTAAATGGAATTTTATTAGATCACTCTAAGAATGCTGGTCGTCCAGTGGCAAAGCAATATCCAGCCAATGAGGAGCAGGATGTAGCCAGTGTCAAAGGATAGAGCCAGAGCCAAGCATAAATGGCTCATGCCTGTAATACTGGCTACTCAGGATTCATTTCAGTTCTAAATCACTCTAGGAAGAAAAGAGAGACCCTTACTTCAATTAATCACAAGAAAAGCAAAGAAGTAGTGCTATCGCTCCCATGGTAGAATACTAGCCTTGAGGAAAAGAAATGCAGGGACAGTGCCCAGACCCAGAATTCAAGACCCAGGACTGGCAAAATAAAAAACAAAACAAAATCCAACAACAACAAAAGAGATACAGCCAGTGACAAAGCAGGATATTGTCAATAAAGAAGGAGCATGCAGGACTGGGAATGTGACTGAGTGGTAAGTACTTGCCTAGCATACATGAATCCCTAGGTTCAATTCCTCAGCACTACATACACAGAAAAAGCTGGAAGTGGCACTGTGGCTCAAGTGGTAGAGTGCTAGCCTTGAGCAAAAGAAGCTCAGTGCAGTGCCCAGGACCTGAGTTCAGATCCCAGGACTGGTAAAAAAAAACAAAAAAACAAAAAAAACAAAAAACAAAAACAGACGGAACATGCAGCCAATGACAAAGGGTGCAGCCAATACCAAATCAGGATGCCGTCAATGGCCGAGAAGGATACTATAATGGCATATATTCTTACATCTTCTAATCTCCATGATTCTATTCTGTGACAAGCATCTCTGAGATGAAAGTTGATCATAATATGTCTGAAGTCTTTCTAAATTCTATTACTAGTATTTTATTCAAGACCTTTAACAAGGCTGGGAAGGTGGCTCAGTGGTAGTGTGCTTGCCTTGTATGCATGAGGCCTTGGGATCGATTTCTCAGCACCACATAAGCAGAAAAAGCCAGAAATGGCACTGTGGTACAAGTGGTAGGGCACTAGCCATGAGCAGAAGAGTTGAAGGACAGCGCCCAGGCCCAGAGTTCAGGCCCCATTACTGGCACAAAGCAAAACAAAACAAAAACCAAAAACAGCTTTAACAAAACCAAAATGAATTACAGAGAGAAAGACAGTAAAGATTAGAACAGAAGAGGCTGGGAAGGTGCCTCAGTGCTAGAGCACTTGCCTTGCATGCATGAGGCCCTGGGTTCAATTCCTCAGCACCACATAAGCGGAAAATAAAAGACAGAAGTGGCCCTGTGGCTCAAGTGGTAGAGCGCTAGCCTTGAGGTGAAGAGCTGAGGGACAGTGCTCAGGCCCAGAGTTCAGGCCCTACGACTGGAACAACAACAACAAAGAAAAGATTAGAACAGAAATCAATGATATAGACACAAGAAAGATATACATAAAATCAGTGGAGCACTAAGCGTGTTCCTTTAAAAAGAATCTATAAATTAACAAACCATGGGATAAATTGATATAGAAATGAAAAGAAGGGACTCAGAACAAGAAAAACACAGATTCCAAAGGAAACATTACAACTGACATCCAAGAAATCAGAAAGATTATGAAGACCTATTTTCACAACCTATATTCCCTGGACGCCAGAGGCTCGTGTCTGTCATCCTAGCTACTCAGGAGGCTGAGATCTGAGGATCAAGGTTCAAAGCCAGCCCAGGCAGGAAACGTTCATGAGATTCTTATCTTCAATAAACCATCAGAAAACCAGAAGTGCTGCTGCGGCTCAAGTAATAGAGCATTAGCCTTAAGCTGAAGAGCTCAGGGACAGAACCAAGGCCCAGAGTTCAAGCCCCACAACTGACCCCCCTTCCCAAATAATAAACCTATTCTCAAGATAGAAAATCTAATACATACAGACAAATTTCTAGAGACATGCAAACTGCCTAAGATGAACCAAAAAGCTACAGACCCTTTAAACAGGCCCACAACATCCAATATGATTGAGGAAGCAATTGGCAATCTTCCAACCAGAAAAGTTTCAGGTCCAAATGGATTCAAAGTGAAATTGCATATGACTTTTAAAGCTGAACTAATGCCATTACTCCTCAAACTTTTCTGTGAAACAGAAAAAGAAGACTCAGTTCCAAACTAGTTTTATGAATCTGGCATCCCTCTTACCCCCCCAAGGAAGTAGCGATACAATGAAAACAGTAAGTCTGCTCTCATAGGCTGAGTTCTCAAGAGTTTCCTCCTTTATGAAATTGTTGGATGACCCTTTCCATTACAGGATTTATTTCTTAGTTTGTTTTGTTGTTGTTCTTGTTTTGGTACTTTGTCTTTGTGCTGGTCCTGGGCCTTGAACTTAGGATCTGGGTGTTGTGTATAAGCTTATTTTAGCCAAGTGGCATGCTACCACTTGTGCCACAGCTCCACTTCTGGCTTTTTTACTGGTTAGTTGGAAATAAAAGTCTCACAGACTTTCCTGCCCAGGCTGCCATTGAACTGTGCTCTTTAGATCATAGCCTTCTAAGTAGCTAATATTACAGGTGGGAGTCACTGGCACCAACCTTGGATAAATTTTGGCTACAAAATAGAACCTACCAACAATGAACAAGAAAGATACAAACCATTTATACAAAGTTGTAGTGTGCAAGGAAATATAAGTAATAATGGGCTACCCGCAAAGGGTGAACAAATTCAGCAGTGGTCCTCACTAGACACTATTAGGAAAATGAACTATATAACTTGTCTAAGGATAGGGGGTAAAAATGGAGGGAGCAAGGGAAGAGGTGATATTAACCAAAAGAAATGTACTCTACTTGACATGATATGGACACCCATTCTGTATATCACCTACATAATAACCATTATAAAGTATATTCTCATAAAAAAATGTCTACCACAAATTAAAACTCCAGAGCTCACACATTCATTGCTGAAGACTGTCAGAGCTTTAGAAAGAAACAAACAACAGTGCTCCTCAAACTACTTCATTCAACACAAAGCAGAGGAACTCATAAATATTTGAAGGTAGATGGGGTTGAATGATGACCGGGTGACATTGATCAAGGTGCTATGTAATCTTGTACTACTTGGTTGAGTGACAACTCCCTGTTCTTCTAATTGAAGATAAAAATAAAATTAAGATAGAATAAAACAAATATACACAAATCAATAATAGAGTACCTAAAATGACAAAGCTTGAGATCAAGCCCTAACATTAAGTGTACCCACAAAAACATTTTGAAAGATAGCAGAAATAACATGGCCATATCAATACGTGTGCAAAAATCCTCCAACAATATTCAACACCACTTTATAATACAAGCCCTGAAGAAACTAGGAAAAGAAGGGCCAGACCTCAGCACCACAAAGCCTGTATGTGATAAATGTTCAGTTTCACTCTGTCCTAAATGGTGAAAATAGAGAGCAGGAATGTATAAGGAAGGGCGGAGTCCAGGGCAACATCATTCTCCAGTCTCTGATACTATTTCATTAGTGCCTGGACTTTAACCATAGCAATGGCAAGAAACCAAAGAGACCAAATAGGGTTGAGGAAGAGAAATTCCCATTTGCAGATTCCATGATCTTGTACAGAAAAGATCCAAAACTCCAGCCAAACAACACTAATATCTTACATCAACTCTGATGGCAAAGCAGCAGGAAACAAGGTAAACATACACACATTCGGGCCTTTTCTGTGCACAAAGAGCAAACTCTCTGAGTAGCAATGATGACAACAGTCTCACTGATACTCCTCTCTAGGCTGACATGTAAAATCAAGGAAGCATAATAACCAGCTGGGTGCCAGTGGCTCACACCTATTATCCTAACTACTCAGAAGGCTAAGATCCGAGGATCCAAGGTTTAAAGATAAGCCTGGGCAGGCTTATCTACAGTAATCCATTAAACAGATAGAATTAGAGCTGTTGTTCAAGTGCTAGAGTGGCAGCCTTGAGTACAAAAGCTCAGAGACTGCACCCAAACCCTGAAATCAAGCCCCAGGATTGGCAAATATAAACACACATACAAACTCACACACACAAATATGGGTTGTGTATAAATATATGTTAATTTCATGTCTCTTTTAAGAACACATTTTCAGGTGATGAGTTACTGCTTAACACGATTTTATGTCATTTTTCTAGCTTTCTATGATGGCAGCAAGGTTACTTTATGAAGGACGCAATCAAAGTGGCAATCAGTGTGTCTCAGTCTCTGAACATGGCGGAGTCACCGTGTAGCTCAGTGACATGCCGTGAGTGCTGGGTGCTCAGTTCTCCCCAGTGGAAACCACAGCACTCCCTAGACTCTGCCCTACAGTGCTCAGGTCATTTCCCACCAGCTGCAAGAGAAGTAACTTTTAATGACCTCTCCGCATCTTCACTTTTTGACATCACTGGGCCTGGGAGCAAAGTCCTTCCACCAGGAGATGCGCTGTGCACATGGGACAAAGCACCTGGGTCACCACTATGATAAGAAGTAAACAAGATTGGGTGACAGCAGTGGGGAGTGAATGAGGGATGGCTGCTGGGACCCCCCCCATCCTCCCCTGGTTGATATAGTCATGCATGATCAAGGCAGGCCTCCAAAGACACTGTGGTGTCTGGAGTACTCAAAGAAGGATACTGCAACTCTGAGCGCAGGTGCAGAGTTAGGGGCAGAATGAGGTCCCAGCACTGCCCATTCGAGGCTGGGCAGTTTTAGGCTGCGAGGTGCAGGTTCATCTCTCTCTCTCTCTCTCTCTCTCTCTGTCTCTCTCTCTCTCTCTGCCTCTCTCTCCCTCCCTTCTTCCCTTCTGCCCTTTCTCTCTAACTCCCTCTCTCCCCCTCTGTCCATCTCTCTCTCTATTTCTCTCTCCCTCCTTCTCTCTCCCGTCTCTCCATCTCTCTCCCTCCCTCCCTACTCTCTCTGTTTCTCTGTCTTAGTGCCCATCTCTGGACATGGAGCTACAGCCTGAGCACTGTTTCTGAGCTTTGTTTGTTCAAGACTGGCTCTCTGCTGCTGGAGCCACAACTGCAGTGCTTTTTTTTGTCATTTTTTGAGCCAAGCATCAAGAACTGTCGTGCTCTGGCTAGCAAGAACCGCAGTTGAACCACAATTCTCACTTCTGACTCTAGACTAGCTAGGATTGCAAGTGTGAGTCACCAGCCCGACTTCATT